ATTTTTCAGTTTCTGTGGAGGAAAAGAGACCCCCATCACTATCACTCTAGATCAGGGATAGGGAACCCCTTTTTTTTTGCCAAGGGCCATTTGGATACTAATGACATCATTCAAGGGACACCCTGGTCCAGCATTTCATTAACTCACCCCTAATGTGATGGCTTCAATGAGGAGTGTGATGTGAGCTGGTTTGGATGATTTCACAGGCCTTATACTGCCTAAGGAGCTCTGGTAGTATAGTGGTCATTCATTGGGCTGCTATCCACAAGGTTAACAGTTCAAAACCACCACCCTCCCCCAAAGAGTTACAGTCTTGGAAACTCACAGGGACAGTCCTACCCTGCCCTGTAGGGTCACTATGAGTCAACATCAGCTTGATGGCAGCGAGTTTGTTTGGCGTTTTTTACATGGCTCAAGGGCAGGACTTTCCCCACCTCCCTCTAGATCCATCCTCAATCCGCTGTGTTGTTAGGTGCCATTGGTTAGTTTAGACGCGTAATGACCTCGTCTGACAGAGTAAAACTGCCCCAGTGGGTTTTCAAGGCAGTAATCTTAATGGAAGTAAATAGATGAACAGGTCTTCTCATCTGTGGAACAGCTGCCTGGGTTCGAACTGCTAGCCATTTTGGGTCAGCAGCCAGTGCTTTACTGATGCCCTCACACCAGGGCCCCTCTGACCCCTATACTGTTCTACTGTATATTCTTTCTTACAGCAGTTTCCCCTTCTGTGAGCTAGTTTGCATACTGTTTATTGCTGATCTCTTCAGTGTAAGCTGCATGAAGCCAGGGGGCTTTGTTTTGTCCAGTGCAGTGTCCTGATTGGCCAGAACAGTGTGGACACGTAGGTGCTCAGTGCTTACTTGTTGGTGGACCGATGGCATGGACTCCACAGGGTTCACCAGTGCAGTGTCCGGAGGAGAGAGACATGGGGGGTTCTCCCTCAGGGGCCCCCACACGTCCCCTTCTCCCTGCAGCTACAGTAGCTCATCTGGCTTGAAGATCCCCCAGTCTGTTCACACTCTGCCCACGGGTCAGGGACTCCATCTTTAGTAACCGGCTCTGTGGGGGGACCCGGATGGTTTCTACTCAGGGCTCTGGGAAGCGGGTAGCCTGCTTCACCAAGCCTTCCTGCTCAGACGCAAGGCGAAGTATGCAGGAATGATTAACCCCTTTGATCCGTAGAACATCATAGGGTGGGACGCCCAGCACACAGCAATGAGGCGATATGATCAATATCTCCCGACTCCTGCCCTACCCGCCACCCGGTAGCGCTGCAACCCAGCTGTGGGCAGGTAGACGCCCACCTCCCACCCCTTGAATTGGGGAGCAGTCCCTGAATAAAGCGAGCCGCAGCCTCCTCCTCTGAGTTCCAACTGCGCCGCCACCACGTGTGGCTTGGGGAGGGAGGGGCATCCGGGGGTGGGAAGGCTGCTGTGACTGCCGGGGAGGCGACCCCGCGTGGCTGGGGCGCTCGGATCTTCCCTTCCCAGGACCTGGGGACTCAGGACCCTCCCGCCTCCGAGGCTGGGGCGCGGCATACCCCCGCCCACCGCAGAGCAGGGCGCAGGCTCCGCGGCGCGCGGACCGCACTGCTGGCCGCACCACCAGCCCCTCGCCGCGCCTCCTGGGTCCCAGCGC